GCCACTACCAAATTCCCTACTATTAGTTGATAGGGCTTACATTTGCTTTGATGCTTGCAGGAAAGGTTTTTTGATTGGATATAGGAAGTTCATTGGATTAGATGGATGTTTCTTGAGGGTTTTGATCAAGGGTGAGTTGTTGTGTGCCATGAGGAGGGATGCCAACAACCAAATATATCTAGTGGCATGGGCAATGGTAAGAATCGAGAATAAGGACACATGGACTTGGTTTATTGAATTGTTGAAGTCAGATCTCGATATGTGTAATGGCAATAGTTGGGCTTTGATAAGTGACCAACAAAAGATATGCAATGCTTCTTTATGACTCATTTGGAAATTGATTGCCACACTATATACAATGCTTATCAATATTAATGTTTTGCTTTAGTTTTTGTTTTTGATTTTTGTATTTGTCAAGGTCTCATCCCTTCCGTAACTGAACTTTTGCCAAATGCAAAACATAGGATGTGTGCAAGGCACATATATTCCAATTGGGGTAAAAAATACAAAGGAAAACAGTTGATGAGACAATTTTGGAAATGTGCCAAGAGTACTAATATGGTAGATTTTGAGGTGCATAGACAGAGGTTAAAGGAAATGACTCACCAAGGTCATGACGATATATTCCGTACTAAGCCAAACACTAGTGCAAAGCCTTCTTTGACACCAATATTAAATGTGATGTCATTGATAATAATCTTAGTGAAACTTTCAACGGAAGGTGTCTGAAAGCTAGGTGCAAGGACATTGTAAGTATGCTGGAGGATATTAGAAACATGGTTATAAATAGAATGCACACTCAAAGGAATGGATGTGCCAGACGGACTAGAAATTTTGGTCCAAGCATTGTTCATAAGTTACATCAGAATACAACTGCTAGGTGGATTCTTCTTGCATTTTTCCTTGTCTTTGCCATAAGAATTGGTGATTGAAGACCACAATAGCATGTTGGCTTCGACTCAACCTCATTAGGAGTTACACCACTGGATTCAGATGTTAGCACCCTCATTCTTCTGGTCGTCATATTATAGGAATCTAATAGAAATATATTACCTGTATTATGATTCTTACATAAGATCCTGATATAAGTATATTACAAGTATTTTTAAACAAATTGTCAAGTGAAACATATTGTCAGGTGAAGTAATAAATACAAATAAAGAACTAATACAAGCACTAGATGCACACATATATTCTATGGTCTTGAACTAGAAGATTAGTCCAGAAAAAAAAAAAAGTTCAGTACATGTTTCTTGTGAGAAAATTCATTTGTTATCGTTTTGTTGTTGTCCAATACATATTTCCATGGTCTTGGACAATTTCGATCAAATCAAGCAAGAGCTATGAACAAAGAAAAAAAGGAATCCGAACAATTTTGACAGGACACTAAGTGGAAATACAAATTTTTAGTATATTGTGACAAAGGTGGAACCACATAAATCCTCACTCAACACCAAGTTAGCCACAAAACATATGCTTCAACGGAAAATGTATTCCTATAGTTACGAAAAGGGTCCAACATATGCCTCTTCTTGGGTTCTCTTGGGACGATTGAAATGGACAGTTATAAAGGGATCGTTTTTCTTGATTTTGATAGTTAAAAATGTATTCATGTTCAGCACAACACAACACAACACAACACTAACCACTTCAACAAAAGAATTCATGATCGAAAACATATCTAACGGAAATGGCAGCGAACTTGAAATCTTCCACCATAAATAACAATTTCTCCAGAAACTATATATCCTAACTCTTCTGCGGAAATCAAGCGAACCAATCATCCGACTAAAAATCCACTCCCACTTATCCTCCCCCCATCACAAATGAAAACTTTTCGAAAGCACGACTTTAAAGTCTTTAACAGGAAAAACCATTAACAACTCCAGACAAGCACGAGCTCATGCAACAGCGAAACGTGAGTGACAGTACCTTGAGCGCGCGTTAGGCAAGCATTGGAGCGCACGAACTCGCGATCTGCTAAGACTCCCATGGGGCGAGTCTTCGTACGAACTTGAAATCATTGAGGAAGAGAACCCGAACTCGCGATGAGCGTCGAACTCGAACTCTACGAACTCCAGACCACGATTGAACTCCGGATGACGATGGGCGTTGAACTCCAACTCGCAAGGGGACCAAATCGCGAGGAAATTCCAGATCGTCGAACTTGATTTGGCGCTTAGGGTTCGAAGGAAGACGAGAGACGAGTGTTAATTTCGTTGAGATGGAGAGAGACGGCATTGAGTTTGAAGGTTAGGGTCAGAGGAATTCAATTTGCAAAGATGAAGAGATGTTGTAGAGGCTGAATTTGGGTCTCAAGGTTCGGACATGGTCGCTCGGGAAGGAAAGAGACGCCTTGTTTGGGGGAGGAAGGAGACAACTTCAACTAAGAAGAGGGACGTCCAAAACGACGTGGTTTTGTAGATGTGGGCCATTTTTTTTAGACTATTTGCCACGTAGGAGAGGGAAATGATTAAAATAAGCCACGTTAACCTTTTCCGTAAGTAAGTTTGATGGTGTTAACATTAGGACTCAAATGAATCAACTTGACCAGTTTTAGTACTTCATTGCACTTTTTGCAAGTTTTAGGACTCAATTGCACTTTTGTGACAAGTTTTAAGTAAGGGTGAGCATGGTTTCAGGTTCTACCCTGGAATTTGAGAACCTGACCAATGGGAACATGTAGGTTCCAGGTTCCAAGGTATGTAGGGTAGGTTCTAGGTTCCAAAAATTGGGGAACCTGTTTCGACGGGTAGGTTCTAGGTTCTGGGTAGGTGGAACCTGGAACCTGAACTTGTCTTTTCGTGATTCTGCAGTATTTCACGGCATTAGATGATGGGTGTATGATCTGGAATCACTAGCTTGAGTTTTCATTTTATGTCTTGTTAATGTTTCATATTCTTCGTGTGTCTAAATATAAGTTGTGGTCAGTGGATCATAACAGTAAGTGGTGGTTATTAAAGATGGTGATTTACTGCAATTGTTTAATTAATAATACAGGTGGAACCTGAGTAGACTCTGGAATCGACCCTCGAACCTGTAATAGGGTAGGTTCCAAGTTCCAAAAATGAGAAACCTATTATCATGGGTGGAACCTATACGGAACATGGAACTGCTCATCCCTAGTATTGATTCACACAATGACTTCTCATTTTAGTTATATTTATTTGAACCGTAATGCCAAGAAACTAGTCTTTTGTATTCTCTTTGATGAATGACAAGTTTGTTCAGTATTGGTGGGTTCATTTTTTTTTTTTTGGTAAGGAAAGTCTCCAATTAGACCTAAAAATGTATTCTCATTTTTTTTTGTTTAACTAAAAATGCAATAAAAAAAAACCTATTAGACCTTGGAACCTTTGACAGGGTAGGTTTTAGGTTTTAGGTTCCGACGGGTAGATTCTAGGTTCCAAAAAATGGAGAACCTGTATTCGAGAGTAGGTTCAAGGCTCCATGTGGAACCTATAAGGAACCTGGAATTGCTCACCCCTAGTTTTAAGACTTGTAGTGCACTTATCCCTAAAAAAAAAAAAGAGAAGAAAATTGCATTAGATGTAGAACAATATATATGTTTGTGAAAAGATCATACACTACAAGGATTGGCACCTGCATTTCTGAAGCTTTTTTTTTTATGTCGAGGTTGAGTTAATTCAAATTAAAATATTCGATCAAATAGTCCATGTTTTAAATAAAAATCTAGCTAAAAACTTAAATTATTAGATAGAAGAAGCATAGCCCATGTAAAGACAGGATAAACCCTGTAAGGATCGATTTTGGATGGTTCTAACGCCTGCTTTCATTGCAAATCGAAATGGAATGGGATCGTCGCCGTCCTCCATTGGCTCCCTTTCAAGAGGAAATCGCAAAGAGATGAAATGGACCCGGTGACTGGCAACCGAGGAATGATGCTATAGGCCGAGAGGGAAGAAAATAGGAAAAAACATGAGGAGGCAGTTAGGGCTTGGCGGGGGTTGTAGGGTTTTGGACGAGCTATCGTCATCAGGGATAGAGATGAGCTCTTCCACACACAAAGAGAGGATTCAGGATAAACCCTGTAATGGCCGATTTTGAATGGTTTCGACGCATGCTTTCATTGCAAATCGAAAATGGGATGGATCGTCGCCCTCCTCCATCGGCTCCCTTTCAAGAGGAAATCGCAGAGAGACGAAACGGACCCCGCGACTAGCGACCGAGGAATGAAGCTACAGGCCGAGAGGCAAGAGACTAGGAAAAAAAAAAGAACAAAAAAAAGAGAGTAGGCGGGCAGGGCTTGAGGGGGTAGGGTTTGGACGAGCTACCGCCATCCAGGGATCGAGAGTAGCTCTTCCACACACACACACACAGAGAACGAAAATTCACGCCACGGATGTACACTTCTCGGGTACCTTTTTGACGGGCTATTTAACACAGCCAAATCATTGCGGATTCAAATGCACACATGACATGACATGCACACGTCTCAAACCGGTCCCCGCTCGAAAATCAAATTCCCGCATCCGACCACGCGTTGCACACGACGTAAATACGCAAAAATCCTCTTCCAACAAGCTATATTGGGGCCACGAACAAAATTCGAGCGAAATGTTTGAAATTCCAGAAAGCCCATCAACCGCAGTCAACACAAGCAAGTGCCCATGGGCCTTTCGCGCAACCCTCGCCGCGGGACGGAAACGGCCCCCCGAACGACTTGTCGTTGCAGGGACAGGCAGTGGGGGCCCCGTCGTCACCGTCCCCCCCCCCCGTATATAAAGAGGGCCGGGTTCTTCTGACAACGCCGACCTTCGCACCAGTCAAAGAAAACGCGTCCCCTTCCTTTTGGATCTTCGGAGCCGCCGCCGCCGCACGCGATCTGCGCCGCCGGTTCTACCCAGGCGAGCCACCCCCCCCCCCCCCTCTCTCTCTCTCTCTCTCTAATTCTCTCTCTCTCCATCGATCGTTGCTCCGATCGTTGCTCTCCGCGTGCGAGTTTCGGATCGCGAAGGCTAGATCTGGTGTCCGATTTCTTCCCCTTTTTTCCGGAATTTCCCCGGCGTGATCTCGCCGCCGCCGCCGATCTGGACGATTCCGGCGGGGGGGGGTTCGGCTCCGGTCGCGCGGTTTTAGGGCGCCGTGTTCTGGAACCTTCGTGATTTCCTGTTCGATCGGTTGGCTTTTTTTTTTTTTTTTTTTGGCGGTCGGTTACGATCGCGTCGGTTTTGGCTCTCGGAGGAAATCCGAAATTGAGGTTTCGGGTTTACGTTTTTGGTTCGTTTGAGTTCGTGCGTGCCGGTTGCTTTTGCCCTGAGTCCTTGTTTTTCGGAGGATCTAGTTTCGTGTCTGCCTCGTCGTCGTTGTTGCGCGTGCGGAATGGTGACGGGGAGGAGAACGATTCGTGTGTGTTTTTGGGGGACTGGGCTGTGTGGAATTGAACCTTGCATGAATGTTCATGCGCTTCCCGGTTTCGAATTGGGCTGCTATGGGGTCGAGCGGGGAAGGGATGGGATTGAGGTCGTGTTGTTGGTTCTGCCTAGAACGGTATGCCGCGCGGCGACATGAAGCAGGCACCCATTGATGCGTGACTAGAGCGGTTTAGATATTCGACGCCACATTTGATTGTTTTGGAGTTACTTATGAATTTGTCGGTTTTTTTTTTTGTTTTCGGGATTTTCGGCTTTCTTGGCTTTGGGTTCTATGTATGGTAGGCTGACAAATTTTTTTATTAAAGTCCCTTCTGTGATGAGTGGTTCTCAGATGAACAATGATGGTCGAGTGCTCTGATCTCAGCATCTTTGTTAGGACTCCTCTGCCGATTTCTTTGTGGTTTTCAGTGTCTTGCGGATTTGTCTGGAGACTTTTGGTCCTGTCTCGTGCTTAAAGGGCGAACTTTTAGAAGGATTGGCAGAGTTGTGGTCTTGTTTGCATATTTGCATTTTGAATGACATAGCAAATAGCCAGATACAACGATAGCTAAATTTTGCCTCTCTATTTGTGTATTCTTGGACATAATTATTCCTGGCAATCATTAATTCGTGCTTCTGAATGGAATTGGAAACAGAAGTTAGCGGCTGCCGGAGAAATGGCATCGAATGGACCAGCCCCACCCAGAGGTAGCGCAGCAGCTGCTGCTAGCATGCGGAGGCGGAGGACAACTGGTGGTGGTGCCTCGGGAGGAGCAACTGGGACAATGCTGCAGTTCTACACCGATGATGCCCCGGGACTGAAGATCTCTCCAAATGTGGTTCTTGTTATGAGCATCGGCTTCATTGCTTTTGTTGCCATCCTTCATGTCATAGGTAAGCTCTACTTGGTCCGAAGATAGACTCAAAAGCGGATTGAAACAGGATAAATGTGTAGTGGTTTGTTCTCTCTTTGAGTCCGAATCGGTGTCTTTTTGTTGTAAGACAGAAAATCATGAAGTTTACATTTTATAGATCAATGTTTGAGGTGGTAGTTTGATTCATTTTGCTAGATTGGCTTTTTCGTCGGGCACTGTAAGTTTTCGGAAGTTCTTCTGAATATGTACTATTGAGGATTTTGTCTTCTTACTTGTCCAGAGTTTTGTTCTTGAATTTTGATCAACTTGTGGTTAGCAGTTGGGTATTGAGACTTACTCAGTGGGTCTCAACTGGAGATGTTTTCATAGAGAGGATGAGATGAGTAGACAATTTGCATGCTTTAGTTTAGCGTACCTTGTGGACTTTAGCTTCGTTTTCTTAGAGGAGCTGTTGGACAACCGATCCAGATATATCCAGGTGAAATTGTGTTGTTTGGAGCAGAATGCGAACACCGTCCTTTCACTTGCTCGTTTTGTTGACCTCCCTTTCGTCCTTGTTGTCGTCCGTGATCTTTTTATTCTTGGAATCGAGATTTGTTGAGCATTGAATGCTGTAGTGGACGCGGTCAATCTCTGCTGACCCGAGAATGCAATGAAACCAAACCACTCTTGGTGACATCCTGAGTTTGAGCATGCATTTCTTGGATTTGTGAATGTGAGGTCTGTAATTCTTCGTCGTTAAGATGAGTCTCCCTGTTCTGTATTCGCGACGAAAAACTAATCTTTCTGTTTTCTAAGTTGCTTGGAACTTCTTGGACTTTCCAACCTCTCTTTCAAATGCCCCGAATCGATATGGCCGTATGTTTGCTTATTAGTTGGTGATACTAGTTCTATTCTGCTTCTTGCCCTATCCAAACCTGCCCGATCTAGATTCATGTCCCGGACACAATCTAAACCTTGTTTTCCAACATGCTTTTCTCTGCTCGGTGCGCATCGATCTCTTTGACAATTCTCTTCTCGCTTCTTTTGCTCGGCTAGATAATTATCCCTTCCCCTGTTGTCTCACATCTGCTGCTCGATGCGATGAGTTCACTTCGACGATCGTGGAAAAATTGAAAGCCGCTCCCAATATTAGGACCCAAGGATCCAAAATTTCCGATACGATCGATATTATCTTAATCTGACCGAGCCTTGAGTTTTGCCAATTTATTCCCAACATTCATTCTACGTTTCACATGTCTCAGGGCTTCATAAGGTCCACGGCCTTTATGTGTCGCGACCTTCGATCGGCATAACATCAATTTCAACCGAAAATCCACATATAAAATGACACCACACGTGTGACGCGTAGCTATGAATTAATGTTTTCATAATGATTCGTTTGTTTGGTTTATACAATCGTGATTATGATATCTTTATGCTGACACAATAGAACGCGGATTTCAAACACGAAATGGAGTCCTAACATGAATGCTGGTTACGTCCTATTCTCTATCAAGTTATTATTTGTGTTATTTTTATTTCTACCGTATATAAAACGAAGTCAAAAGAGTCATTCAACCCAATGACGGAGCCACGATTTAGGTCGAAGACTTCGAAAATCATTGACTAAATACGAAGTCAAATATTTTTTTTAACATGAAAATTTTGACTCAAATTCTGAAAGTATGTATTAGTCATTAACAAGTTCAGAAAATACAAAGTTTAATTTGAAATTTGGTGAATTGTGTTCCTAAAATACTTTTATTCTTGATGACTCTTCATTATAATTATATAAAATACTAAAATTCAGTTTTTAGCAAGAGCACAATACGATACGATGCGATGTACTTAATATTAATTAAAGAAAAAATTAATACCGCGAAAAACTTCAAACTATAGCCACTGTGATACATTTATCCTAAACTTTTTTTTTTACATCAAAAATTTGGATTACACGTTTAACTTCCATTAAGGTTCCGTCAATGAACACCGCTAGAAATCTTATGTGGCAGTTGACGTGGACAACGGTAGACAAACGGAACTGCCGTGGCAACTATGCAAAAAATCTGACTTGGCTCCCTCCGTTTCCCTTTCCCTTTCTCTTTCTCTCTCACTCTGTTGCTGAAGTCTAATTTGGGGTTTGTGTTTGCTGGGAAGTAACCGACCACCAAATTCTCGATTAATTGATTCTTGTCAAAACCGCTCAAGCCCTCACCACCACTCACCGATTGTCGTCGACGCCTAAATTCGAATCACTGCTGAAATCGCGGCCTAGGGCTCGCTTTGGGGTCGTCGGCATCGTCACGTCCTACAACTTCGCTCACCGCTAGTCACCATCGGTGCTTTTGCCGTCGTCTTGAGCACCGTTGTCGCCATCGTCAATCGTTGATTAGATTGTCAAGATGCCATTCGGGAATGAAGAAGATGAACATGGGAGCTCGGGCAACGAACAGAGGAAACTGAGAAAGGAGAATGAAAAACTAACGACGTTTTTCTTTTTCACTATAGCCATGTGGCCACCACGTCTGCACTGTTTAATCTTCCACGTCAACAGCGGAATACACATATGAAGCCACTTAAGATTCGAAACGTGCTCGTTGATCGACGGAGAGTAAATATATCACATGAAAAAAGTTTCGCGTAAATATGTTATAGTAAACATGGTTTTGGATTTTATGTGGTATTTATCCTAAATTAATCAATAAATATAAATTATTTAGTTTCCAAAGGCGGTTGAATGAAAGCACGAATGTTTCCTCTTTCAACGTTAACGGTCGGGGCAAATATTTCCTATTTTGCACCGAAGTAAACTTCCTGTTTTAACACGCCTGGTATACTATATATAACCTCTATTCTAAGTACGAAATAAACACAGCTTTTCTTCCGTTCATGTTCTCTTCTGTTCTCTTCTTAGTCTCTCAAATTCCGAAGCCACCATGTTCTCTCTTCATAAGATCCGCTTTCACGACTATCAGATCCACACATGCGTCACCAACGACCCCTACATTGTCACCCGCTGGATCGGCGATGTTGAGCACGCCCACCTACTCTGGTTGAACCGGCTCGTCATCGGCCTCGACATAGAATGGCGCCCAAACCTTGAGCCCGGTGTCGTCCATCCGGTCGCGACCCTGCAGCTGTGTGTCGGTCATAGTTGCCTGATCTTTCAATTCCTCCATGCAGAAAGTGTCCCGGCGTCGCTCCATGCATTTCTCGCCAATCTCCGTTACACATTTGTCGGCGTCGGCATCAAGGACGACGCAACGAAGCTGCGCGACGACTACGGGCTCGTCGTGTCACGCATGGTCGATCTCCGGGCACTGGCGATGGAGAGGTTTCGGAACCCATCGTTTGGTCACATGGGCCTGAAGAAGTTAGTCAAAGTCCTCCTCCGCAAAGAACTCGAGAAGCCCAAGGAGATCACGTTGAGCCGGTGGGACGACGAGGCGTTGACGACTCGTCAAGTTGAGTACGCGTGCCTCGACGCTTATGTCACGTTCGAGCTTGGAATGGTTTTGCAAGCATGGTTAGTGGGAAGAGCTCGCGTGGGTTGGTGTGCGAGGGCTGACTGCGTGCCCAACCCTATTTTGTTTCGTCAAGTTCCCTCGTGAACCAGTGAAATGTTTTGTAAATGTCGGATGACCGATTATGAATTCTTAGTTCAAAGAAAAGTGATTTTTTGGTTTGCCTTTGCATCAGTTGATTTTGTTAATTCATTTCTTTTGAAACATCTTATGAATATTAAACAAAAACGTTTCAACTTTCGATACACTGGCATAAAACTTTACGTCTTTTTGTTGCTTTATAAGTATCACGCCTAATAAAATACTTATAAAATGTAGTAATTTTTATGTAGGTAATTTGCAGTGGGCATAATTTTTGGCCAAAGAAAAGGGACAATTTTGAGAATTCAAAAGTTGAGACGTGGACTTCACTTTTACACTTAATAAATAAAACACAAAAGACTCGAGCGAGACCAGCAAAGCACGTGCGAATCAAAAGTCAAAGCCCCGACCCGCCCCAAAAAAAGTCCGAAACAGAACCACTGATCGAGTCCGAGTCCGAGTCCGAGTCCAGACGACCCCCATGTTGAAGCTCATTGGTGCTGGTGAAGGGTTTTGCGATTTAAGCCGTGAAGTTTGGGGATTTTCAGTATCTCAAAAAAAAGTTTGGCGTGATTGTGTCACGGTGGTGGACATAATTTAGGGTTTTTGGTGGAATTAATCCTTACAGAAATCACAATTTCTCATTAAAAAAAACGAAGAGAGTGAGAATATATGATCATCATTACGTGTAAGATAATATGTAAGAGAATATAATGTTAAATGAATAGTTTCCCAAAACACACGAAAAATGTAATTTGAGTTCATTATTTGATTTGCATCTTTTTCAAATAAGCTAAAAATATTTTGTCGTAACTTCTAAATCAATTCCACGTACTTTCGGTAAAGAAAATTGTCGCCTGGATATTATTAGGTTAATCTATTTGAAATTAGAAGAAAGAACCCACTTTCCACCGGGTACAATCGAAAAGAAATTAATCTATTTATATGAATAAAATCTAAAAGCTTTCGATTTCAAATCTTGAGAAGTTTCAGTCTTATCTCATCGATTTACATTTCTACTCTTTGAGTACAACATGTAGCTGTAATTCACTTCATGCAGATTTACAAAGATTTCAATGCAATCTTCCGATAAAAAGAATTTTAAACTCGAAAATTAAAAATTGGATTAATTTCTATACCGTCCTTTTACTTGCTCGTTTTGTTGACCTCCCTTTCGTCCCTGTTGTCGTCCGTGACCTTTTTGTACTTGGAGTCGATATTTGTTGAGCATCGAATGCTGCATTGGACCCGAGAATGCAATGAAAACTCGACTCGTGCATGAAACCAAACCACTGTTTGTGACATCCTGAATTTGAGAGCATGTTTGAACTGGGTTCCTGGCCGGTTCGCGCCTATTCTGTCCGGTTTGATTGGACCGAGCCGGCGGGCGTTGATTTGGGCCTGAGCTTGGGCTAGAGAGTCCATGGGCCCGGTCCACATTCACAACGTCCTGGAAGAAGCAATCCGACCCGCGGACGTAATACGATTTGGGGAAAAATATTTTTCTAAAAATAATCGCTTGAAACGATTAGTCCATAAAATGCTATTCATTTAACATTATATTTTAAGGTGCTTGGAACTTCTTGAACTTACCAACCTCTCTTTCAAGTAAGTGCCCAGAATCGATATGGCCGTATGTTGGTGATGCTAGTTCAGTTCTGCTTCTTTTCTGGTTGAGGATGCATCGAATAAGCCCGAATTTCAAAGTGCATGGTCGAGCTTCTTGACTTGCGTTCTGTGCCACAACATACTTTTTTTTCCGTTGTTGATACGTGGAAACTATGCATGTTAAAGCGGATTCTCCTTTGCATTGGAGCTCAGCAATGAAACTATGGAAGATGGGGACATATTGCAAATTATCTAGACACATCTTCTTAAGTTGGTTTCTGACCCAACCGTTCGACACATTTCGCCGGCCTCTCTCCTTACGAACTCTCCGAAACATCAAACGACTTTTTGCTGCTTGTCCTGGGCGCCGGGGCGGTGAGGCCTCGTTCGGAGTACTCCGGAAGGATAAGTTGTATTATCCAGTTTGGTAGATGAATGAAAGCACAAATGTTTCCTGTTTTAACTTTTAGCCAAACAAAAAAAACAAAAAAATTTGTTTCCTGTTTTAACGTTAACGGTCGGGCAAATATTTCCTGTTTTGCAACGAAGTAAACTTCCTGTTTTATCACACCCGTTATACTCTATATATAGAACTCTACTCTAAGTACGAAATAAACACAGCTTTTCTTCCGTTCATATTCTCTCCTCTTCTCTTCTTGGTCTCTCAAATTCCAAAGCCACCATGTTCTCTCTTCATAAGATCCGCTTTCACGACGATCAGATCCACACGTGCTTCACCAACGACCCCCACGTCATCACCCGCTGGATCGGCGATGTCGAGCGCGCCCACCTACTCTGGCTGAACCGGCTCGTCGTCGGGCTCGACATAGAATGGCGCCCGAACCTTGAGCCCGGTGTCGTCCATCCGGTCGCGATCCTGCAGCTATGTGTCGGTCATAGTTGCCTGATCTTTCAATTCCTCCACGCAGAATGTGTCCCGGCGTCGCTCCATGCGTTTCTCGCCAATCTCCGCTACACGTTTGTCGGCGTCGGCATCAAGGACGACGCGACGAAGCTGCGCGACGACTACGGGCTCGCCGTGTCGCGCATGGTCGATCTCCGCGCACTGGCGATGGAGAGGTTGCGGAACCCATCGTTTGGTCACATGGGACTCAAGAAGTTGGTCAAAGTACTCCTCCGCAGAGAGCTCGAGAAGCCCAAGGAGATCACGTTGAGCCGGTGGGACGACGAGGCGTTGACGGCCCGTCAAGTCGAGTACGCGTGCCTCGACGCTTTTGTCACGTTCGAGCTCGGAATGGTTTTGCAAGCATGGTTAGTGGGAAGAGCTCGCGTGGGTTGGTGTGCGAGGCCCGGCTGCGTGCCCAACATGATTTGCCCTATTTCGTTCCGCCAAGTTCCCTCGTGAACCGGTGAAATGTTTTTGTAAATGTCGGACGACCGATTATGGCTTCTTTAGTTCCAAATAAAAGTGGCCTTTTTGGTTTTGCCATTGCATGAGTTGATTCTACTAATTCACTTCTTTTGAATCACACTTGTTGTGCATATCAAACAACAGCGTTTCGACTTTCCATATACCGATCTCGCATAAAAGCTTTACTTCTTTTTGTTGCTTAATGAGTATCACGATTCACGCCTTATAAAATACTTATACAATGTAGTGTGTTTATGTGGGTGATTTGCTGTAGGGGACATCGTTTGGCCAAAGAAAAAGGGGGCAATTTTTGAGAATTCGAAAGTCGAAACGGACCTCGCTTTTACACTTCATAAATAAAAAAAAACAAACGACTCGAGTGGAGACCGGCAAAGCACGTGCGAGTCAAAAGTCAAAGCCCCGACCAGCCCCCAAAAAAAAGTCAAAAATAGAACCACCAACCGAGTCCGAGTTCGAGTCCAGACGACCTCCATGTCAAAGCTCATTGGTGCTGGTGGGGGGTATTGCGAGTTAACCCAAATTCCCACCACCATCACCGTTGCCGCCGCCGCCGCCACCACCTTGACTCGACTCGACTCTCGAAATCCTTGGCATCGCGCCTCCTCTACGCACTCCGCGGCTCGCCTCGCCTCCCCTCTCTCCGTCGACCTCACACCACCTCCAATCGCCGCTCGTGTCGCTCCTCCTTCGCAGGGCCCCGCCGCCTCCGGCACTCCTCACTAGGGTGGGAAACAATGGGGAGAACATTACAAACGAAGAAGAGAAAGGAACGATGAAAAGATGGAACTGCAACATCTCGAATTTTGCATTTTGGGATCACGTTTTGATCCTTTTGCGCATTTTTTGATATCGTAGTTTGGGATTTTTTTTGTTGGTATTAACATTTAATGAATTCTCAAATTCTTATAAGAAAAAAAATGAAGAGAGAGATAATACAATGTGATCATCATTACATATAAGATAAGATGTAAAAGAATATAATATTAAATGAATATTTGATTTGCATCTTTTTCAAATAAGCTAAAAATATTTTGTCGTGACTTCTAAATCAATTCCATGTACTTTTTGGGTAAAGAAAACGGTTGTTCTAGATATTATTATGCTAATCTATTCGACATTTAAAAGAAACGACACACTTTTTATGGGCGCAACAGATAAGAAATTCATCTAATTAGATGGATAAAATCTAAAATTTTCGATTTTTTACATTTCATTGATGAGAAAACATCTTTTAAAATTTTTGAGAAGTTTCGTATTTTTTTTGTCGTATCAATTTACATTTCTGCTCGGTATATACAGCATGTAGTCGTAATTCACTTTACGTGAACTTACGTATATTTGAATGCAATCTTTCGAGAAAAAAAAGTTTAAACTCGAAAATGAAAATTATAATAATTTGTATACAATAGGTGATTAATACGTTATTCTGGTGAGCGCTGCAGTTATAATTAAATTTTTTTTTCCTAATATACCTATATATAGTTTCTGTGAAATATTATATAGTTTATTTTTCTTTTTTCTGAGCAACCGGGTCGGATCCTAGTCCGACCCGATTGTTCGCGATTCCCTCTCCGATAGAGAAGCGCCTGACCAGACCGGCGGAAGCGCCATTGATAGAGAGAGAGAGAGAGCGTTCTCTTCTCCAACAATGGCGACGGTAGCGGAATCGCCCGACCCGAACCCGAACCCGAATCGGGAGCCCGCCCGGCCGAGATCGACTGCCGGCGACGCCGCCCCGTGGATCGACTACGCCGTCGACCAAGCTCGCCTTCTGCGGAGGACGATCGAGGACGACGCCGGGTCGTTCGTCGAGGCCTCGCGGTCCCGCCTCTCCCAAATCCGCTCCACTTCCTCGGCTCACACGATGATGACCCTCGCGATGATCCAGGTCTTCTCTCGATTCGCTCTCGCCGATTATGTTTTCCCACCGTGCTCTTCCTGATTCGGGAGGGAATTGGTTCCGCTTTCGCTGTCGAGTTTAGGGCCCCTCGCGAACGTGGATTTGAAATGCGCGATTGAATTTTTGATCGTTGATTCGTAGAACAGTTGAATTGGGTGATTGAGTTTCGATGCGAAAATGTCGTGGGAATTGGAGAAGAATATCCTTCGTTTTGTGAAGTTTTCTTTGTAGGGATTTCCCTTTCGTGTCCGTTCTAATCTGCTCTGGTATTGAAACGTTGGCGCGAGAAAATGTTCGTAGGGGTGTAAGCGATTTAAGCGTATTGACTCGAACTCGATTCAGTCTTTGTCCAAGCTTGAGAAGTTATTGAGCAATTGTATTTTACATATCCACATTGCATTTATATAAAAGAAATTGATATAGACAGTGTTGTTATCTTTCCAGTCAAGTTGAGCTCAAGTATTAAACTGTATCCACTTGATTCAACTCAATTCTAGTGGACCCATAATTGTAGGGATGCTGGGTTTAAGTCAACTATATGATGGTATTGTCCTGCTAAGATTTTGCTTCGGAAGAATACTGCAAGCTATCCTTGGCTGAGCTTGTCCACGGTCCAAAGCCAGCGAGCTTTTACCTGTTGTTTTGTTTCAAATAGTTCATTGATTATGTCGTCAAATAACATTCTGAATGCAGGATACTCTTCAAGAAGTCAAGTCCAAATATGATGCTTATGAAGATATTTTCTTCGGAAAAATTAAAGGTTTGCTCTTTTCATATCATTGGATTGTCAATATTTATTTTGTGGGGACATGCTTTTGTTTTAGTTTTAATTTGTGAAAGTCGTATTCTCTTGAAGTGCAGAGGGCATTGAAATAGCTGCTTCGCATCCCATGTTGACAGCTGGAGTAGTCACTGGCTCGGGCTTCATTGTACTGAAAAGTATGGTTTTTTGCATCCCGGTTGGCTAGTTAATTCATCTCATTTATAGTTGTGGTAAAAAATTTGATGCTTTAACTTGGTTAAGTTACCAAATGGCATGTTTTACTTGCATAAGAGTTATGTTATTGATACTTCTTGGCAGTGGGATTAAGGAGTCCCTTTGTTGGCCTAATTGATTAGCTTCCTTTATCAATTTTATGGAGCTTGACTAATAATCAATATATCCGTTGCAGGGCCAAGGCGATTCTTGTATTACAGTACGTTGCGCCTTTTAATGACTGAAGAGGTGAGTGTTATTGCTGTTGTGGCGAAGTTGGAGAATGAAACGATAGCAAATAGAACAAAAACAGGGCTAGAATTGAGTTGAATTGAAGCTGGAACACTTAGATATTTTAGGGTTTATGAAAGCCAATGATGTTTATTGAATGAAGAAAGAGCTAATGACAAAGAGTCTTAGAAAACCTATTAAAACTAGGGTTACAGACGTAAGATAAACCTAAAATAACATTTTCTAACCTCAGCCATCCAACCTAATTAAACATTTATACGAATGTCCACTTGTAACCGTACTACAATAATATGAGAAAAGACTAAATAAAGAAGAAAAGCACTTAAAACTACTAAAATAGAATTATGCTTCTACATCATTCTCCTCAAGTTGGAAAGAATCAAGCTCGAATGCGGAGACTTAACTTCCTCAGTATATGTCTCTGAATCAATCTTCTCTATCTCTTCTCCAATATCCCATGTAACTTTGATACCTGAATTATCCTACCAATTCAACTTTGTATCCATATCCTCCTTCCTAGTCAGCATCATTCTTCTACGATTGAAGAAAACTTGGCCTCGAGTTTTGAAGTGTCAGAATAGATATTAGGCAAATTCGTTCCAATCATCCTTAGTTTTCCAACCATATTTTCCATTTGAGTGATCTAGCGATTTCTCTAGAAGAAGTTAAAGTCTCCACATCCGAGCTTGATTACTCCCGATCCGAGGAGAATGATGCAGGATCACAATCCTTTTTTAGTAGTTTGAAGTGTTTTTCTTCTTAATTTAGTCTTTTGTCGTTATCTTAGGATTATAAGTAGTCATGTGATGGTCATACGATGGTCATGTGAATGTTTTATTAGGTTGGATGGTTGACATTGGAAGTTGTTAGTTTAGATCCAAGAGTTGAGATCGTCTTATGTCCATGACCATGACCCTAGTATAAATAGGTCTTTTAAGTCTCATTATCATTAGGTTTTTTCTTAATTCAATAAACATCACTGGATTTATAAACACAAGAATATCTTTTCTCTATTCCAAATTCAGTTGAGCTCGATTCTAGCCCTTTTTTTTGTTCGTTTTGCTATCTTTTACTACTCCAACAAATGCCAAATCGGTATCAGAGCCCCTTGTTAGTGGTTTTTTTTCCTACATTATGTTGGCTTTCACTTCTGCCACCTTATGATTTGACTGAGTTTTAAATAAAGATGGTCGCCTTTTTCTCTTAGACTGTGGACAAGAATGAAAAGTCGATTCATGTTAAATGATGTTATGTTACAGCTCTAAGAAAATGAAATTATCTAAATTCTGCCACAACTTTAGCATTCTTTTATTATCAGAGTAGATGTTCAAGTTTCCATCTCATGGCATTGTTTCATAACACTTGGTGTTCGCACTCTAGTATTTGAGGAAGCTGGATCACATTATCCTCATCAGTCATGCGCAATGTGAGATTTAATTTTTATCTTTTTTATATGTGGTTGCAGTCGATGTTATCCCGAGCTGATGCCAAAGTCAAGGAACTTCGAAAATCAATTGACCTCCTGAAAGCTGAGAGTGAGAAACTGGAAGTAAGTTTGTATTATTCAGTGGCATTTATTTTGGGCCAAGAAAGTAAATCATGAATATTGAGTAAAGTTTTATGCGGGGTATTTATTTTCTCTAGAAAGGTGGACATTCATGTTATAGCAGTAAATTACATACACATACACAATCTGCTAGCTGCAAGAAATCAGAAGAGCTACAACAGAATACCTTTACCATCCAGGAAAATGTGGATGGTGCACTGTCTCTTTGACTAATATTAGAAGTCTAGGAAATGAAGACCTTAATTCCCTGGATGTGTACAAAAGATCCAATAGCATAAACAATAAAAAGCTAACAGAACTTAAAACCAGTACCTATGACAAATACAAGTAGGAGCGGCAGTCAAATTGGATGGAGACCTTTAAAATTCTTTTTCGAGGATGACAAGGCATTCTTTTCCTACAAAAGACTCTTCTATTTCTCTACATCCACAAGTCTGGAAAATTCAGTATGAATTATCTTTTTTACTATTTTTTAACGAAGTTGAGTGCGCAATTGTCTTCTTCCAAAGCTTAAGCTATTATAGAACGACGCGGAACATATTTAATATTTTAACACTTCCCTCATGCAAATGCTGGTACTATGATTGAGGCGTTAAGTGTCCAGACCCGGTATGTGCAAGTAATAGAATTTGTGGAAACCTTAGATGTATAAAGAAGGAAACCCTCTTCTCCAAAAGCTTAAGCTGTAGGAGAACCATGTGTATAAGATATAATATCTTAACACTTGTCAATTAAAGTATCTTTACCTCGGATAGCTTTCTAGAACCCAGAAATGGCCTCCCACTACTGATACAGCATAGTGTATCAGCATTCGGTCTCAGTATCTGCCTAGCAAGGGAAAGCTTTTTTCAGCAACTGACATATGAATCTAATGTCAAACACAACTTTGAATATGTTTTGAATAAATTATGTTTTGATACAGACCACATTAGTTTTTTATTGAGCTGATTGGCAATTTCACAGCGTAGGACAAGATGAGACTCAACTGTTGTTTCATACCAGTTAGATATACTGTAGTAGGATCTTCCTTTTATGTCAAATATCAGTTGTGTTACAATATGATCCCAAAATGCAATCCCCATACATGAAGAGCTTTTCAAGGAGCTCTCTCTACAAATCTGCTACCAAGGAAGCTGAATATGTGTAGATTTAGCAAGTTATTTGTTGTTGTATACCCTTTGCAAGATCAGCTTATCATCATTAAACTCCTGATATTCGAGTGATGCAAAATTTTCAAGAAATACAGAATTGAAATCTTTTACTGGTCCTCAAGTCCTCTGAAAGATTTGGATCCCGAAATCTAGAGCCACTATTTCACCTATGAGCATCGACTACCATCTTATCTTTATCGATGTACACACAACGATTTTGGAGTTGCATTTTTCATTAGAATTTCCTTTGTCTTTCCGGGAACTTAATATGTTGCAATTTTTTTGCAGAGGAGAGCTCAATTAGCAGAAGAAGAAATGCTTCGAGGAAGGACAAAGCTCAGGTAGGTTGCTTGTGACAGAAGTGCATTATCTACTTCTACCTGCATAGGGCCAAAAAATTCCTTAAAAAGGTTGGGTTCTTAATTCTCATGGCAGACAAGCAGGCAAGCAGATTCAAAGTGTAATCCACTCAGCTTATAAGATTGAAAGACAAGCAGGAGGTATAGTTGTACCATTTGGTTTTGTGTCCGCTTGATTCTCTCCTTGAGATGGAGCTGGGTTTGGTTGGATGAACTTACAATTTCTGTCCTTAAATCTGTCAGGTTTGAAGGATGTTATTCAAGAGCTTCCCCGAAGAGAAGCTTCTCGTTTCAGATCACAGGTGAGTTTTCTTAATAGTGGAAAAAAAATATAGTACTTTGTAGATGCCATCCTTGGTAGTAAACCTTTTGGAAAAGCACCTGCAGGTACTCTTAGTGCTAGTTAAGCAAGTGAGGTCAATGATCAGTATGGCTGTACTATGTTAACATTATAGGATTATGCATGTGGTTAATCACTGGCAATTTTTATGCTAACGTTAACTGATCAAGGTCAGTACAGTGTAATCATTAACCTTGATTGATCAGTGATAACACTGTTGCAGAATGCATTTGCATTGATCTTTGAGCCACCAGAGCTCACATGTTAATGTAATTTTGAGATGTGGAGAAGGTAAATCTATAATGGTGAATAAGGGCGAAGTCATTCGCGTTTCCTAAAAATTCATTTATTTGGGTTGTTATTTCCTACAGGCATTTTGTGGTTCCAATAGCATTTTAACCTCCACCCTGGGTCTCTCTCTCTCTCTCTCTAAAAAATCGTACTCAATGGTGAAGTGCTTCCTGCCTTTTGTTTTGTTTAGTCTGTGAGATTGATTACCACCTAACCAGGCCTGGCGAATCAGAATGTTTTTGAATTTCTTCAAGAGATTCATTATCATGGAATGTGAATGGGAAAAATCTACGCTTTTCTTAATTCTTATCAAAACAGCTGCCTGCCTGGTCTTTCAGTTCCATATCTTGGAATAGATCATTTACTGTCATCACTAGAAGTATCTCTTATCTTATAGTATGTTGAAGGCTTTCTCTGTATGTGAAGTCCTTTTTCTAGGGAATTTATTTAGTGGATCTAAAATCGAATCACAATAACATGGTGCCGAGTGTTTAGTGTTCTTGAAAGATATGTGGTGCCGACTGTAGTAGTGGGATGTAAATATAGAGGTTTAGTTTGAATAGAGATCTCTATCATTGCTCTCTGTAGAGGCTACGTTTCCGGCTTTTCTCCTTTACCTTCCATTTTCTATTGGCTTGTGGAGAAGGGCTAATGATAGTTTTCTGAACTTCAAGATTTTGTTAGTTATGTTATGTTCCCTAAGATATTCACTCTGTTCTAGACAAACTGTGGTGCTGAATCTTTAACTGAGTCACAATTGCAAGATGCACAGCGATTGTCATCGACTAGTTTTGTTTCCTGTCCTTGCTAATGCGTCTTCTATTGTTTCGATGGCAGGTTTCTAACCTAGCTTCCGAGGCGAAGCGAGAAAGGAATGCTTTGACCAAGGAGGTTTCCAAAATCACCGACTATGGAATTTCCGTCTGATTTCCGATCTCTCATTGCAACCGTTTCAACGTCCAAGCTATGCGATGGTGTCGGCGACAATTTTTTTTGATTCCGTACATGCTTCGTGTATTTTAATGTTCGAAAAGGGGGGTCCCTTTTCTTGATAAAAACCTCCAGGTCTATATCTGTCGGGCCTGGATGAGAAGAATCATGTCCTTTCTTCTGCAACAACTACATTTTTTTTGCGGGAATCATATGTAGATCAGAAACTTTGTAGAATGTTATGATACACAGCAATCAAAAGCTTCAGCTGACACTAAAATTTTCCCAATGATAGACAGATCTTGTTCTATCCTAGATGGTTTTGGGCTATAAAGTATCCGACAATTCGGGTCGGTCTGTCGTGAAAGTGTTTGTAATTCGTACCAATTCATATCAATTGAAAACATGTAATTTTCAATTTTACGTGTCAAATAATTTTAGTGGCGATCGAAATGTGTTCATTCTCTCTATAGTCCGTGTGGTATTTCATGTAGTGTTCTATGGTCTAAACGGGTCGTGTATAATATTGTTTTGGGTTATAAAGTATAGCCTAATATCCTAGAAGGTTTTGGGTTATGAAGTATCCGACAGTTCGGGTAGGTCTGTCGTGATCATGTTTGTAATTCGTGTCCATTCAATATCAATTGAAAAAAATCGCAATTTTCATTTTACATGTCAAAAATAATTTAGGTGGCGATAAAAAAATGTGTCGATCTCTCCATAATCCCTATCGTATTTCATGTCTAATGCACTATAGTCTAAACGGGTCGGGTCGGGTTGGGTCGATGTATAGCATTCGCTAGAAAAATATTTACCCGCTTCTCATGTGAACCACACGTGCCTCATCTGCGCGCGCAAATCCAACAGAAAAAATTCTGATCACAGGGGAGGGAACCGAGAGAAACGACCCCAAAGGCCATGGCGACGGCGACGGCGTGCTTTCTCTGTCCTCCCACTGCACGCGCTCCCTCCCTTGCTCCCAAGTTCACCCGCTCGTCAACGCCGCTCGCCGCCACTCAGCCCGACCCCGCCAAGCAGCGCCTCCTCTCCCTCATCGCCGGCCAGGTACGCGGCCTCCGGACGCAGAGGGACCTCAAAAAAATTAAATTTTTTAATTTTTTAATTTTTAAATTTTTTGGGCACCTCAAAAAATTTAAATTTCACTCAAAGTGGGTGATCACAGGTATTTTAAGCCATTTTGTGAAGTTTTGAAATTTTTGATTTTTTGATTTTTTTGGGTATCTCAAAAATTTAAATTTCACTCAAAGTGGGTTAGTGCACGAGTATTCTAAGTCATTCTGTGAAGTTTTGAAATTTTTGATTTTTTGATTTTTTTTGGACACCTCAAAAAATTTAAATTTCACTCAAAGTGGGTGGCCACGAGTATTCTAAGCAATTCTGTGAAGTTTTGAAAATTTTGATTTTTTGATTTTTTTTAAAAAAATTCACAAAATTTCATATTTTCCTGAAATCTAATTTTTTTTATTTTCTAGAAATTTTTATGAATTTTTCTAGAATTTTTCAATTTCTGTGCATTTTCTGAAAAAAAAAATTTTGTGAGAAAAGAGGGAGAATGCATTCCGGAAGAGAGAAGCTACAAAAAGTAGCTTCTCTTTTTCTTGCCAAAAACTCATTCTGGAATCAAGAATGCATTCTGGAATCAAGTATTTTTAAGAAAAAAGTATCTGACAGTTTCGGTAGGTCTGTCGTGATCGTGTTTGTAATTCGTGTCCATTCAATATCAATTGAAAAAATCACAATTTTCATTTTACATGTCAAAAATAATTTAGGTGGCGATAAAAAAATGTGTCGATCTCTCCATAATCCTTATCGTATTTCATGTCTAATGCTCTATAGTCTAAACGGGTCGGGTCGGGTCGGGTGAGGGTCGGGTCGATGTATAGCATTCGCTAAAAAAATATTTGCCCGCTTTTCATGTGAACCACACGTGCCTCATCTGCGCGCGCAAATCCAACAGAAAAAATTCTGATCACCGGGGAGGGGAACCGAGAGAAACGACCTCAAAGGCCATGGCGACGGCGACGGCGACGGCGACGGCGACGGCGTGCTTTCTCTGTCCTCTCACCGCTCGCGCTCCCTCCCTCGCTCCCAAACTCACCCGCTCGTCAACGCCGCTCGCCACCACCCAGCCCGACTCCGCCAAGCAGCGCCTCCTCTCCCTCATCGCCGGCCAGGAACGCGGCCTCCGGACCCAGAGGGACCCCGCCGCCCTCTCCTCCATCGTCGAGGCAATCGTCGCCGTCGCCGCCCTCGGCCGCGGCGACGTCACCACCGGCGCCTCCCTCTCCGCCACGTGGCGGCTCCTCTGGACCACCGAGAAGGAGCAGCTGTACATCATCGAGAACGCCCGGTGGTTCGGCACCGCGGCGGGGGACGTGCTCCAGGTGATCGACGTGGAGGAGAAGGCCCTCAGCAACGTTATCACGTTCCCTCCCGATGGGGTCTTCTTCGTCCGCTCCGACATCGAGATCGCTTCTTCGCAGAGGGTGAATTTTAGGTACAATTCAATTTCGGGTTTGCTCCCTCGCTCTCTCTCTCTCTGCCTCTTGAGCAGTGTCTGTTGTTTCGTCAGCGAGAGCTGTGGTGGTGGATCAATTTGGCGAAAAAGCCCTTGATCATGAGGAAGCCTTGAGTAATTGGTGCGCGCATAAGAAACGAAAGTCCGAGTATTTAGGGCTATGATTTTGCGGAAGCATTGGTTCGTCTTGCCGTGTGAATAAATCCTCATTTGCTATTACATGAAAAGGACTGAGTCAGCTGGATTTCTAGCGACATTAGATTCTCATCCGCATTTCATTCTTTCTGAAGGAAATTGTCTTTTGATTGATACAACGTAGTCGCGAGCATTGCTATCTCATCCACAGAATTACTTGTGTGTCCCCTTCCTTTTGGGTGTACATGTGTAGGAGCTCCTCTAACTGTGATAGGAAATTAACATATGTTATACCAGTTTGAAGTCCCAAACCACGCAAATGCTTTGGAATGATGGCATCTATCTAGGGTATCTCCAGCTTGGACTTTGGAGGCTTTGTCCGGGTTGTATAATGATCAGCCTCCGCGAAATGTAGCATCTCTGTTGCACTGATATGGTAGATTAAGATGAATAAAGAGCAGTGCTCTTGAGCTCCTTGTAGAAACTTATTTCCCGGTATTTTACGGCATTATGTGGTTTGAATTGTATTAGAATATAAAGAAGAAAGCAATGCTTGTGTTTGGCTGTGGTTGATCCAGTAATGAGTTTGTTTATGTGGATGCAAAAAAATGGGTTCCACTGGCCTTCAAAGACAGATCTGAATATTTTCTTATTCCCAGGTTTTTGTGATGATTGAGTTTCATGAAGTTCTTTCTTGGGGCATTGGTTTGTAGTTTGCTATTCTTGGCTACTTAAAGGAAACACTACAATCTCCCATCTTCATTTTTTAAGGAGCCAAAGCTGGCTTTTGAAATTATCTCTTGGAAGAATCACTATTATTTTTGTTTCTGCCGCTTTTGGAAGAATCACTATTATCTTATGCATCCTTTACTAGAAGGGCTGTGAGTTATGCAATTGTTGTTAATGAATCAGTATTCAGTTGGAGAATAAATACATGGAATAACTATAAACCTTGGACTTTATGGGTTGATTTTCTTTTACTTTCAATGGCTTATGTTCATTTGATCGATCTGCTAAACATGGTGAATAGTTTTGCACATTCTGAAATCGACCAAACTTTCATGCTACAGTAGTTGCATAGGATATTACTGTGTTGAGTGATAAACTAGAAAACAATTGCAATTTGGATTTATGTCCATCTTTCCTCCCCTAGATGTTAGATATGTCATTATGTTGGCTTATAGCTTCTATGCTCCCGGAAGATGACTTTGTCCTCATCTGATTTGCATTTAACTGAGGCAATTTGAGTTAACATTTAATCATCAGGGACAAGAAGATGCAATGCAAGTGTGACGGTACAGAACCCATACTATTCACAGTTTGGCACTCATGATTGGTTTGTATCCTCATTTCAGATTTACGAGTGCTGTGCTGCGAGGAAGGAGCTGGGAGGTTCCGCTTCCTCCATTCGGCCAGGGTTGGTGAGTGTTTATGTGATTTTTCTGGAAATGGCAATTGAATCAACAGCTCTTCTTAGATAGTTCAATGTTGTCTGGAAGAAAAATGTATTTGTTCGGTACATGCATTCTTGACAAGTCTTGTCTTTATTACATTTGCCAATTGTATGTCGTACAACTTTTTAAGTCTGTGATGGCATATAATAGGATATTACAACAGAAAGAATAGCTGAATAAGCATATCTTGTACCTGGAACATCACACGATTTTTCTTTAGAATGCAACAAATCCAATAACTCGTTTAGCCTCGTTCTCATTTTTCCTAGCCATTTTACCCTTTTTTACCCGGGAAGTAGATAGATGCTAACTCTTACAACAGTTAACTTCCTAAATATTGCTATATGCACAACCAGGGATTCGTGAAAGTTCTTTTTCTTTTGGGTGTTAAAACTAAAAAGTTTTTTTATAGCAAGAATTTTTTTGTGATTCTAGGTCAGATAACTAAATAACGTCATTGACATTTCTTCTTGGGACAATCTAGATAATTAAGAAGACAAACAGGAAAGAAAGAGAAAGAACTATCAATGGGAAAATACCAATGATGCACAAGCTTGATTGGGTATTTTAAGAAATGGCATCGAATTACAATTTTCCAAGATTAGGGGTCATGAAATATAACTCCAGAAGAGAATATGTTTGAAATCATTAAGTTCAAAAGTTTGAAAAGAGAAGTTATGTAGGAGGATGCATTCCTCTTTCAGCCCAGATTTATACATGAGAAGAGGTTCCTAGTATGAATTGAAGCATGTGGATCTTTGGAAGGCAACATGATAGTGGAAATGGTAGTCCAAGAGATTTATCTGGTGCTTAATGTAATCTGATCTGTATAGACTCACCTCAGAAATATCGTTTCTGAGACATAACTCCTAATAATTAGTGTTTTCCACTTATGAACTGTAGGCTGTTGCAGTTTCACTCTTTGTCAATACGGAATAGTTCATGTTTTTTGTGTGCAATACTTTGTTTAATATTTATGCATGATACTTTCAGAGTCTGCAGGAGTACAATTTTCCAAGTCTGTACTGTCAAGTTGAGCATAATTGATGGGCTTTGTTCCTAGAAGAACATAATAGTTACCATGAATATGATTTTCATCAATTGACTGTTGGGCCGGCCCGGAATATATGTGAGAAAAGAACTTAGGCCCAAGCTCAGGATGGCCATGACAAGATATCACTATAAGATCAGAAGAGGATTTAGAGTCACTTAACATTTGTGGCTGGACTCCGAAGAGAACTATGTATCTCAGAGTTTTGTGCCTCTCACTGCATCCCTCTCTCTCTTTTTGTCCTTGTATTGGTGTACCTTTGTTGTTATGCATGTAGATTTTTATGTTTTAAGAATATTTCTTATTGTCGGGGTATATGTGTAAGTATCATACGTGCTGATTAGGTAATATTGTGTACTCTTACTTTTTCGAGTCTGCAATAGCTGAATGTAACATAAATTCATCTGTACAGCGTTAATGACGCAAATCTCTGATTTTCATTGTTACAGTAATACAAACAGAAAAGCTCCAGTTTTTTGTGATTATTTTCATAGCCAGTTACTTATTTGTGCTGTACTTATTCCTGTTGTTTACATAGGTTCGAGAATGTTTACCTTGATGATGAGATTCGAGTTGCAAAGGATATCCGGGGAGACTATTTAATAGTCGAGCGTGCTCCTTATAGCTGGAAAGAATGAAGAACGATGCTGCTTCTATTCGTCGCCTTCTGGAGTCCCATGTGAGTTTTTGCTCTTTCACAAGCCTTTCAGCTGTTGAATTGCCAGAGCAAGTTCTTTGATGATAGGAGTCAAATTTTTATTTTGTTGTAGATCCTAGTTCTGATTTTATGTACTTCTTTCTTTTGGTCGCATCAAACATATATAGCAACTACAGTATACTGAGTATCCAGATATTCAGCAACCATGGTTCAAAGTCATTGAGTGTATACCCAGGCATACTATTTTTCAAAAAATATATCTAACTACATTTTTTTTTCTCTACGAGCTACCGGGAGCAGGAAATCCTCAATTCTATCTGCCATTGGTCCTAAGTATTGATCCTGATTTCAATAACCTTGCTTAGTGCTTTGTTCAATGTGACATGCACGGTATCTTCGATTTCCTTGGAGAAGGTATGCGACTCAAAAGTTAATTGGATCGCTTCATCCCTGTGAGGTCTTAAGGTTTTCTAATTTGAGGACAGTTTTGACATAATTTTGAACGGATGAAAATGAACATCTTGGTGGATGTTTACCTTTTTGCCTTCCTAATAGTATCAACCAGGTTTGACTGAGTTGACTGCACTTTAGATTAAAACAGGTGCATTGGTTCAACCGGACTGGACATAGGACCATTTCCCAGTTCATCAGTTTGAACCAGGCTGGTCTGGTTTGGTTTAATACTGCTCTTGCTCTCATGCTTCTACTGTACTTAATCTTTGCAAAAGTTAATGAGTGGCTTTGACTTTTGACGCATTCTGAATGATTAATATTCGGCAGGGATCCACTTATGGACTGGGGGGAGTCCCTTTCACTATGCGGAGGGCAATAATGAGGTTGAACAAATCAAGACATGGTATATCTTCATCACCCTGCATAAAAAGGCTCACTACATTGTATTGAAGGGAAAGGGCCTGCCGATTTCTCTCTGTAACAACATAATGTTGGTGGTGCTGATTTTTTTGTTGTAAAATAGTAGTGTAGTCTTCTGAAGATGTCAAAATGAGGTAAATATTGCTATACACATTTTATATGACAGTTTCTTAAATGAATTTTGTTTCGTTTATGCTGTAAGTTCTGTAAATGTCGCCCTTAGCATCCAGGATACTTCTCTGACTGTTGTCATTTCAAGTGGTTTGAATTCTGGTTATCTGAGAGGTAGTTTGCTTTCATTGCTGATTTCCTTTTCACTAGCAGATCATATTTCGGTTGAAAGACTAGTTTCCCCTCAAATGTTCCTTTTCTTCTCTTGAGAGAGAGAGAGAGAGAGAGAGAGAGAGAGGGTCTTTGTAAGGGGTTCATGTAGCTGATATTTTTTTTTGGTCTAACATGTAGCTGATATTACTTTGTGAAGTATACCCTTCTTTTCAAGGGGATGAAGAGTTTGGGATGATGACGGAAATTCTTGTAAATGTCAATTATGTTCATCTTGTAATTCGACCTTTTCATCTTGTAATTCTACGCACGTGCATATGCTTGTGCGACCCTGCACGTCTCTCTCTCTCTCTCTCTCTCTCTCTCTCTCTCTTGCCGAAGGATCCACGATCGATTCATCAATTCCGTGGGGGACGCACTCGTCACGACATGTGATGTTGATAGATCTCTGCAAGGAGCAACAGCAATGCATGATTGACGGGCGACCATCATTTTTGATCCCAGAGAGTTTTGTCCGAACAGGGCATGTTGAAGTTCTTTTGAGAAGTTTCGCGACGGCGGTCAGCAGGGTACGGCGCATGTCGTGTTGATGGAGAGGATGCGCGATGGTAGGGTCGCCTGGCTCGTGATGTACGAGGTCGAGAAGAAGATGGACGAACAGGTCAAGGATGGAGGCTCTCCACTTCTGGTGGAAAAATTGGACGAGTCTCGTGAGCTGTCCACATCCTGCCATGGACTGATTCTCATGTATGTTAACCTACGAAAAGAGTTGTGAAATGCCTACATCCGTATTGTCCATTGCTGTCCAGCAAGTTGGCGTTCTCTCTCTCTCTCTCTCTCTCTCTCCCCATTTGCCCACTTTTCTTGGTGTTTGCTGGTATCCTCAACCAGTTGTTTGCAGATCGGTCTATCTCTGTCTTTTCGTCTAATCCACGCTAGCAGCGTTAGAGGATTCTCAAGAAATTACTTTCTTATGGTCCAACCCAAAGTTATCGAGTTGAGTACGAATTGAAATTTAAATCCTACGTTTCTTGTGGAGTGCGATCCTGATCGTTTTGCTAGTAGATCGATTTCGGACCTAATGTTCATGTTCTCTCACAAGTGATGTTATTGTGATTGGGATGAAATACATGATGCTTGCATTTAACTTCTTTTTCTTGCAAAACAAAAGCATTGATGCACATTTTTTTTTCTTATTCAGAAAGAAACAATTGGCCCCGAATTACTTTGCCCAATTAAGTTTGATAACATACGCTAAATTCACTCGAACGGTTCATGACATGGGCTACTATCTTAGTATATTGCAACACTGACTAGACATTCTAACTCCGCCACCGGAGAGCGAACAAAAATCTGGTGAGACTCGTATGGACTCACGTCCTGACTCGATTTATTACATATACTAAACTATTAATTTGTAGACGGCTCCTTTTAAAAATCCATTAAGCTCAAAACAACAGTCACTTGATTTAGGATAACGTGGGGCACACTGGTTGAAAGTGACACACGATGGAAAGATCCCATTTCTGTGGACCTATTAGATGTCTCTTCTACTTTTGACTTTCTTTCTCATCTAAAAATACTAACTAAGATACTAAGAAGTATTAAAAAAAATAATACGCGATTCTATATCTCAATACTCGAATCATATGATAAGTTTTAGGTATTTCAGATTGAACAAGAGTCAAAACGTGAGTTCCTCAAATATATAGAAAAAAAGAAGAAGTAAAAACTACTCCGGGCAAGCCATTTAGGGCAAAGTAAGCTTCCATTACGGGGCTTCATCTCAAATCATTACATTTAAAAAACATATTCCTTCGTATTGAGTCATTTGAAGAAAAATATATTTAGGACCCACTCCCACTTCATGTCTTTTTATTAATGTTTTAAAAAATATTTTAAAAGTCAAGACCAGTAGGAGAATAGCAAACTTATTTGCTATTTGAGGCTCCTTTTGTTACACGAAAAATGTGATATTTTTTTTAAATTCTTTTTAGGAAGTCATTTTTCGATATATGGCTCAAACATAAAAATGACCTGGAAAATATTTTATGTTGTTTGGTATGAAAAATCTAATTTGATTTCCTAAATAGACATATATTATTTGGGCGCTGCAATTTGCGCATGGGCAGCCATGAATCGAGTATGGGCACTAGAGTCCTAGGTCCAACCTCAATGGACCCTGACTTGAGCACTGGGAATTGGGGCATGGGCACCAAGGTCTACGCACTAGGATCCCGGGACTAGCCTTGATGGACCCGGGCACTAGGGGTAAATATGGTTTCAGGGTAGAACTTGGAACCGGAGAACCGAACCAATGGGAATCTATCCGATTCCAGGTTCCAGGTTCCAAGGTATGTAGGATAGGCTTCAGGCTCCAAAAATTGGAGAACTTGTTTCGACAGGTTGGTTCCACATTCTAGGTAGGTGGTGTTAGGGTTAACAATACAACCTAGAAGGAGGTGAATGGGTTGTTAAAGAACTATGAAAAATATTTGCGGAATATAGCAAGTTCAACTTCAAACATTGGCATAAATAGTTTGTAGAAATCATGTACGTGCTTCTATTTGATAAATAGTGATGATAAAGATCAAGAAATGCTTATACTGAAGATAAAGATGATTTGCAAGCAGATATGTAGTGGTTCGGCTTTATCCCCAAGCCTACATCCACTCTCAACACCAACAGCCACAACAAGGCTAGAATCTATTGGTAATCTTCAAGAAAAGTTACAATCAACAAGTACTGCCTTTACAATAAATCACACTATCAGGACTCACGTACTGCTATTACATCTTGTACACTTCCTCTTATCACTTATTACAAACAACATCACCACATAGACATTGACATAAGGAACGAACAGCAGCTAACAATAAAATCAGAGCGAAGAAGAAGACTCAAAGCCTAAGACACGCGCTGTTCGTTTCCACCCAACCTAATTACTTCTCTTTGATCAATATATAGCCAGCCATTTTCATATGACCGTTGCCTATTGAAATCCTCGAGTAACCATTGGTTCTAGCCGTTGGTAGCAGCTGACGGTTGCTGAAGATTGTCAGAACGGCTCTCTTACAGTGGCATTTTCCAAAACAGTGTTAGTGTTAGAGTTTGTCTTTGCTCATTAATGCCAACTGCCCCTGCCCAACTCTTGTGATCTTTTCCGGATTCCAAACCTTTGTAACGGCTATTTTTTTCTTTTCAATGTTCTAAACAATTGGTCAAGTGTCAAGCACATTCCAAGGCTAAACATCATCATAATCCTTTACTTATAATTAGGACGTGCAGATATTTACTAGTCTGTTGATGCTGTTCACTGATAAACCATATGGAATGACTTGCGATCAATCTTTCAATGATCCTCTTGGCTTCTTCAGTATACAAAGACTTCCAAGGACATTAGCATCTCCGCTGATTAACCATATCAGTTTCCAAAGATCTTCAAGGACATCAGCATCCTTGCTAATTCATCATCTTCACTGATTTGACTAGGTCAGCTTCTAAAGATCTTCAAGGACACCATGCTAGTTCCTCATCTTCACTGAACTCATAAGGACCATTGGTACTGTCACAGTTTTCTATCTCATTTGAAATCGCCATCTGCTCTCACCCAATATCGATGTTGATCTTTCTGGTCCTTCCAAGCATATTAGTAATTTCGACTCTACCAAGCTATTCATCTTCATGGTCCTTCAAAGCTTTACCAAACATCCTCGTTCTAGACTTGTTCACCATCACAGGTTCATCTGACTGTTCATCCGATCTTTGTACCTCCAAGCCATCGCGAACATCCCCATTCGTCTCGGCTTGTTCACCCTCAATCAAGGTCCTTCTAGATATTCACCATCTATAAAGATCCTTCCAACTTGTAGACATCTTCAATTACTCAATATCTTGTTCACCTTAGATATCAGCTGAGCTTCTTGACAGTGGCAGAGCACTCCTCATATCAGAATGTTTTGGTGCTGTGTATGACAAACATTTGCATTTCGGCTTGTGTATATATCACCTGGTAATACTCAACTAATACACACATTAGTAGCCTTTGATTGTCTTTTTCATCTTTAAAACAACATAGGGGATTTTCCTAACAATCATCACATTAGTGATTTTCCCAACAATTTTCCCTTTTTTTATGATGACAAAACAATCCTCTGAATATGTAGATGTCTTAACACGCAATAAAGGATATTGAATTTTGTGTGCGTGAAAAGTAAACAAATTTGCTTCTCTTGCCAAAAATATGAATTCAGTTCAAGGCATACTAAACAAACAATGCAATATCCAAATATCAAGATATTCAATGAATATAAACCGGAGAAGGCAAGTAAAAACATTATAAGCAAAGAATAGCAATTAACAACAGCTCATGTTTCTACACAAGTTTCTAAATCACATGAGTTTCAAATAGGAATGAACATGTATCATTTGAACTAAAACTCCTTCAAACACATATGCATATTCATCAAACTTCTCCCCCTTTTTGTCATAATCAAAAAGGCGCAAATGATATATATGCAATTCAGCTCATTTTTCACAATCTAACCTCTCTCTATATTCAACATGCTTAGGCGAACTAAAAAGATATGCAATGAAGCTTGTGTTCGGTGGATCAAATATCATATGCATCAACAAACATGTATATCAAGATGTTGGAGAAACATCTACAAATGAATTTTGATAATACCCAAACTATCTTTGGCATAATATCTACATTGTCTAAAGTGTAGATATATTCGAAGGACTAAGTAATACTCATAATGTTATTCATTGAGGAGAATATCACAAGACTGTCCTAGAAGGATCCTATAAACAGCACCATCAATCTCAAAGATTAGCTAAATGACGATGTCTTATTCAAGCTGAAGAGATTTAGTAATTGGTAATGTTTAAGTAACGGTTCATTTAATATGACCATTATATCACTATTGTAGCCGTTGGGACTGGATAGGCACAGCAGAAGATTCGACAGAAAGGAGAACTAACGGTCTGACAGGCAGTCAGAATCGCAGTTATA